AGCATTATGAATGTATTGAGCTTGTGCCATGTGCTTACGTAATCAATATCGTTTTGGTCCGGCGGGGGATAGTTTTCCACCAAAGTTTTTACTATTGCATTGTGCTGATTACCTTTTGTTGTTGTTATTGTACAGTGTTTTGCAGGACCATATTGTAAAACAGCGTTAAGATCTCGTCTGTATAATTATGTTATCCTGCCTAAAGATGTTTTAAATAAATAAAAAATATATATATATGCAATAAAATTAATTTAAAAAAAACCCTTATATAAGGCCTATAGGCCTATTTGTATAATGATGGAAATATAATTACGCTTATAAAATACAATTAACACGTGATTTTTCGTAAGTTACGGTACGTGTTGTAAAACAGACCCAGATTTCCGTGATGGGATTTTGTCTATACAGCTGACTATTAGATGAACTTTTCTAATACACACAGGCTAATAATTTTAAATGTAACCCCGCCCCTTATAATAATCGAAGGATCTTTTAGTAGTCAAGGATACCACCTTCTTGGATGTTTTGTGAAGTTTTCGAAACCGGAAGAATATACTTCACTACTTTTGTTTCATACTATTATTTGGTTTATATTAGGGATATTTGAGAAGTCAGGGTACTTTTTTATATAAGGAGATTATTATTTTATCCCATTCATGTTGTAACAATGTCTTTAGTAACGTAAGTTGAAAAACACTAAATTTCTTATAAGGTCATTTTAAAGGATCTCATAAATTTTCAATTTCCGATGAGTCATACTTCGAGAAATAAGTTAACACGTGTTTAAGCCTTACTATGAAATTAATAACAACAAAATCATAAAGAAATGGAGCTTCCGTCAAAGCACCGCCTCCTTAGATATTGTTGCTAAGGTTACACAAAGGAATGGCGTAAATGTACGCAAATACGTGCGTTTGTGACACAACACCATTGATCTCTACTATAATAGCTGGATTCTCATTGGCTGGGTTTAGTGAGCCGCCGACGCCATGTTGGAGGGCCTGAGTGACGTATTAGTTTAGCTGGATTTCTGATTGACTCATTGGCTGAGTTTAGTGAGGCCGCCGACGCCATGGAGGCCCTCCAACAAGGCGTCGGAGGCCTCACTTTTTTCCGTACAAGAATTGGCCAATGAGCAATCCAGCTATTATAGTAGAGATCAGTGGAACACATGTGTTTGTAGGACACGTTCGTATTCATGCCCTGTTCTGATTGGTCAGGTGTTCAGTTTCATTGGCACGCCGGAAAGGGTGTATGTAACCATGATGTAACGAATACGAACGGTGTTTTAATTATCATGATGAGTCTGTTAGCAATGTCGTAGCCAAGATTTTTAAACAGTACGGGACAATATTAGGGTGAACCCACTTTACGGGTAAATTAAAATAATGTGGACCCATTTTCTTAAAAGTTGACCCATTTTACGCAAAAATATGTAAAATCTGGACCCATTTTCTTACAATATTACCAATTTTAGGCTCAATATTATGAGAAATCACCCATTTTTCAAAAAGTGGACTCATTTTAAATGCATAATATTGCATAATTTAAACCTATTTAAAAAAATGTGTACCCATTAGCATAATTATTATTACTGTCCCAATCTGGCTACGGCATTGTCTGTGAGTTGGCAAGTCAAGGAAATTCTTATTTTATTTTTCAATTAGGGCCTAAAACCTAAATAACAAGCAATTCCTTATTGTTTATTTGCTCGAAACGGTAACGATAATAATACACGTAATATAATACCTATCTAGTCTTTAAATAAATCGTCGTTTTAATATCAATAAAGTGTTTCCCAAATTAAAATATCTACGTTTAATTGTAAAATATTTCTCGAAGCCCCTCTCCCACTAGGTTTATTTCACCTATGAGTCGTACGATTTCTACGAGTTAAAACTCGTGATCTTTGGAAAGCTACAAGTGAGGTACGACTTTATGGAGTTGGTTACGAGTTATGTACGAATTATGCCGAGCAGAGCACCGAGTTAACTACGAGATTATTAAGAGCGTAACAAGCTTGTATACCGAATTAGATACGAGTTAGGTACGAGCCAACTCGGTGCGCTCGTACTTACTCGTACTCGTTTTTGGGTGCTCGCATCAAACTCGTAGATTACAAAACCGCCGACGAGTATCCATAGTAGTGTACGAGCTAGGTAGGAGTACCCCGAGTACTCTATGAGCTACCTACGAGTTCTTCGAGTTTACTACGAGTTATCTACTCGTGGCGATAATTTTGAACATGTTCAAAATTAGCGCCACGATTAGTCCAGAGCTGCTACGAGTAGGTAAGAGTCCTCTCCGAGCTTTCCGAATCGTCCTACGAGTTTTTGCCGAGTTAGCAACTCGGCATTCTCTTGTAACTCGTATGCTGAAAAAACCCCTAGTGGGAGAGAGGCTACGTGTTTTAAAGAGAGTTACGGAATTAAGGCTTTAAAACGTACTTCCGTCTCGTCCACAGGACTACTTTATATACTAGGCTATATATAGGCTCCTTGTGTAAGTATTATGTATTTTATGTACAGTATATATAAAATATATATATAGGAGCTTAGAAGTATCCATAGGGGGATACTAAAACAATGAAGAGGGTTAAAAACAGTACCTTAAGGATAAAGTTTATACTGTCTCTTATACACATCTAGATGTGTATAAGAGACAGAGAAATGCCTGTGCTGTTCTCATTGGTCAGCTATTAAGTTGTATTGAAAGGTCCATTAATTCTACGTAACGAAAGAGAACGGTATTACTGTATCATCGAGTGTGGTAGTTGGCAAAGAAATTTATTTTAGTTTTCAATTAAACGCTTAATAAAAAGTAAGCAATTCCTTATTGCTTATTTGCTCGAAATTTGACGGTCATAATAAACCAAGTAATAGTTGTATGGCTTTGTATTCATTTTGGTTATTATGTTAAAAATAGTAATATAGTATTTAAATAGAACGTCATTTTAATATCAATAAAGTGTTTCCCAAATTATAAGAAATTTCTATACGTTTAATTGTAAATTATTTCTCTTCCTTAGTGTTAAGGAGAACTTTAGAAAACCTCGTACCTTGTAGGCCTATTACCTTCACTCTTAAAAAAAAGGAAACCATGTTATATATACTTAGGAAACTAAATTAAAAGTTTATGTTAAAAGTGATTTAGGCCTATAACTCGTTCGTTGAAAGCGTTAACCTTTTCTTTATATGCTGGTTTTTAAATTTAAATCGCACAGATTGGTCAACCTTGCAATGATAGTAAATTTGTGTTAAAAAATAACCAGACGTCCATTGCGCAGTCTATCATTATTCTGTGACAAACATACTTTAGCTAAATGTAAATATATTATTTAAACCGCCGAACACACCCCCTTTTCAATTCAATTCAAAATAACTTTATTGCAAATTTAAGGAAAATTTGAAATGTACAGACAAATTTAAAGTAATAATATTGAAAATGTTTAAAATAATATTGGAAAATTTGAAATGTACAGACAAATTTAAAGTAATAATATTGAAAATGTTTAAAATATATAAAATACTCCAGTTAAATTAGTTAAAATAATAAAGCAGGAGGACACGTTACAACATTAAAAAAACAATCGGAAAATGTAACAAAATTGAAAAACATTAAAGAGGGGGGAGAAAATAGGGCCTACAATAACAACAATCATGACACTATAAAATAGGGGTATATAAATAAGGGAGACATAAAAAAATAAACAATATACTGAGTACTGAATAAAGCCTAGAATAGTTTTGAGGAGGAGAACTCGCAGAGGGGGTTTCGCCACTTGCCAAATACCCCTTGATATGAAATGAAGTCACGAGACCGCTTTGTTGCGACTTTGGGCAACTTGAACTCTCTAGGAGCTTGAGTTTTACAGTTGATAGCTTGGAAACATTACCACATGTTCTCCGATACAAAAGTAATGTGTGTGGAACAAAACTGAAATTACATTTGTTTGTTCTAACCGGTATTAGGCTCTTAAATTAGAATAATAAATAATGATTTTTTTGCAATGAAATATATCTTTGTGTATACAGTCATGTTTTTTATAATTGCTTATCCTTTTCTAGTTTTATCAGTCTTCAAGTGAAACAGGACCTTGTAAAACAGATTATACGGTAACATACTGTAAATCACCACCACAACCTGTATAGATAGGTTTGAAATAAAATTTTAAAACAAGTATGATTTGAAACATAAAATATTCCGGCCGAAAGCCTTAAATGAGATTGAATTTTTATTACGTTTATTTACATTTTCCATTGATTCGCTTCATTCAAATTATCTTCACTTACCGATAACAAAGTCACGGAATAAAATCACTATTCGAAGCATGCAATTAAGGCGAGATATAACAAGATATTGGGACATCCAGGCATACTTTGTGTCTCCAATATGTTTAGAGTTTACACCATAGCGTCGGAAGCAGTCATAGAACAGATAAGGAGCAAGGGCATTGCCAGTTTGGTTGGTGGAGTCCATGTAAACAAGGGTCGAATGGCTATCTCTATGTCAGTGAATTGTTTCTCTCTAGATAAGAAATGTTTGTACGAAACATTCTCCTGTCTGCGACGAATATAACGAGAGATTCATTAAATTGCAAAGTAAGATGTTTAGTATAAATGTTGATGCTAATTTTGAGTATCAAATTGCCTGATGAGCAGCGAATTACTGGTGTGTATACTGTACGTCTCACGAAATCATCCTGCGCCGTATACCCTGGTCTTTGTAGTAAAATTTCACTGGCGGTTTACAGGCCCAAACATTCGTTGCTTATGTAAACGTAGGGTCGCAAGTTTTAAACAAATTTGACAAGATAGGCTCCAAAAACCTCCAAGCAAGACCCGTCGACCCGCCTGGTAATTGATTGAGCGTTTCAGGTTGACAATGCAAGTTTCCTTTTAAATATTTCACCAATCACGCCGAGAGATCTCCGTGACGTAATCACTCCTTATCTAAAGCTCCGTACAAGACCTCCCAACTTTTAAAGTATTAGGTTTCCTTGTTCTTTGCAATACGTCAATCTGTGATCTATGCCGCACCTACAACATTAACAAAAACACCCGCGGCAATCGATCTGTCAATAACTTGAGGAAGTTTCGTTACAAAATTATTATAGGGCCTAGGTACCTTCTAAGTAGAGAGGACAGAAAGAACTCCAGCAAACGAACATGAATTTCGACAGCTCCGATCAGTTCAAGAACCCGCACCTGATGACCACTTACACTCAAGCGCCTTCCATAGCAACTGCAAATAATACACCTTTCTCGGTGAAAGATATCTTGAATTTAGCAGAGCAGCATCTGTACCAGTTCCCTTTCGTTGACTATTCACACGCAACATCACTTTTCCAGCAAGAAGTCCACAGTAGCCATTGCACGGACATGGATACCAACACGGCATCCGTTTACTCACCCTATATCCATGAGATTCGAGAAATGCCGGAAAAATATAAGGTTCAGGATCAGTCATCTACATGCGATCAAGGTACGTACCATATTATTCACTCCCCTGTCATGTCATAAATCTAAGTTATCTATAGGCTTATGATTAAAGTATTATATAAAATATTCTACTTTTAAAATTTTATGGAAACCTACTCTATTATTATTATTATTTTATTATTATTATTATTACTATTATTATAATTATTATTATTATTATTATTATTATTATTATTATTATTATTATTATTATTAATATTTGAGAAACGCGTTGACCGATTGAATATTGAACCCAAGACTGATCATTTACTCTACAAACTTACCGGTATCAAATTTTCTACATCGCTACTTCCTCAGATTTTGCGACCCTATAAAGTATAACCACACACATTGCGAAGGCCTTATACAAGACAAATTGTTTAATACAAATATTCGAAATTGATTTGGAAATACTGTAGTGGTAGAATCTGAGGAAAAATTATCAACTATTGTACATTTGGAACAATTATTGAACACAAGTAGTACGGTACCATTTATGTTTAATTGGGGGTCATCATCAAACAAGTATAGGCCTACTTAACCGTCTGACAGACTGCTCCCGTGAGACATGTTTTTCTCACCGTCTTCAGGAAGAGACGTATGGTGTGATTCTGTGCACAACCCATATAAAAGTTATGAACACATGCATTCTGCTTTCGAGTGGTGTCTCGGTAGCATACCAATTGGGATCTTGCCTGTTTCCTAACTCTACTCGAAACAATGGGTTATACTCACATTATACCAGTAAATTATAATTAAATAATCGGGGCCTGCTTCATAATACAATCTATAGGCCTATCGGTATTCAATAATGACTATTTGTTTAGACCTATCAGATAACTAGGGCCAGATTAACTTAGAGGCTTTTGGGGCGCCGCCCCAGGCCCATAGGCTCCGATGGGAGAAAAATAGGCCCCACCCCAAGAAAAATCACCGAAAATCTGGTTTTGTGTTTTAGCCACAGATTATTTGGTCCACTTGCAATTACAGCTTCAGGCCCCACAGCCTTTTAATCCGGTCCTGTCTATAACCAATTATAGTAATTTGCTTTCAGAATTGTAAACCCCTCTTGCAGAATTGTGCTGCATTTTGGCTTGTGTTTGGTTTTCAAGGAGAAAACTAACATCGGTATGAACGTATTGAAACAAATCATTGCGTGCCGAAAAATAGTATTCATTGTGTTTTCTTTATTTTTACCGAATTGAGAGCACAGTTGAAGTTGGTGCTCATAGCTCAAGTACCTGTTAAGCCTCGAGTAGAGTTTTCAAATAAACATCTCAATACCAACTTGAAGTTGCAACAACTTAGTGTATAGATGATGCTAGCAATGCTAACAATTTGACTTATACAAATATACATGGAGTATATAGAGGCACCCGCTATGTTTGTCATTATGCCTAGGCCTATATTATACTATTTTCAAATTGTATTTCCGATTTATTCTCCCTTATATATAGGTCTATTTTATATAGGTCTATGTCAGGGAATAGTGGTCTATGTACACACATATTATCAGAAACGTTAAACAATAAATATGTAAACCGTCTGGCGGTAATGCTTTATGTAGGCCCTTACTGTATACCATATAACTTGTAACAAGTGGCGTATCATGGGTGGGGGCGCCCCTCCAAAAATCACTCGCACACCCCATTCGCCCCCCCCCCTAAAATCCCGGTCAAGTAGTTAAAGTCACCTAAAATTACCTTATTTTGCGAGTTAAATCTCCTCAAACCTGTCTCTTATACACATCTAGATGTGTATAAGAGAGCACCCTCACTTAAAGATTTCTAGATACGTCACTGCTTGTAACGTAAAGAAGAGGAATCTACCACTGTAAAACATGTCTCTTCAACGGGGATTCGAACCCCTCAGGTGTCTATTAAACCACTTGGGTTTCGTTAAAAATTCGAATCCGATTGGGAGGCAATTGATTTGACGCTCCCCAATGCTGATACACAATACTAGCACTTAGACTCACATTTAAAGCAGAGATTAAATGTATACTGTATCCCTTTCTCCTTGAAGCATTGTCAATAAAAAGACAGGATGATTATTATTATTTTATTTATTAACATTGATGATGTTAATATGGTTCTACCATTTTACTTAATATACCTACAGCTGATGAAATTTGTCATCTAGATTCAATGTCTCAACGGGATATTGTCGTGAAGCTGACGAAAGATGTGGACCCAATTAAGCCAACAAAACCTCGACAACGACGCAAACCAAGGGTACTATTTTCCCAGGCCCAAGTTTTTGAACTTGAACGACGTTTTAAACAGCAAAAATATCTATCAGCACCCGAGAGAGATCATCTCGCAAAGGTACTAAAGCTTTCGCCGACCCAGGTAAAAATTTGGTTTCAGAACAGACGATACAAATGCAAACGGCAGCGCCAGGATAGAAACTTGGAGCTAGAAGACCATGGTCAGTTACCATCTCGCCGCGTACCTGTACCGGTTCTGGTCCGCGATGGGCGTTCATGCCTCACCTCTCCGCCCCCTTATAACTTTAACACCCCCCAATACGTTATGGACATGAATTGCCCATCGCCGTATGGTTCACATTTTTCGTATGGTACCTCAAGCCAACAGACCATGTCACCTCAATGCAACTATATCCAGTCGCCGATTCAAGACCTCAGACCATGGTAGGAGTTGGCAATGTTGAACACAGAGATTGGACGAAGTCGGGTGTGTGTGTGTGTGTGTGTGTGTGTTTGGTGGGGCGTTGGTCAATCATACTTATATTACCCAATAACGCGATGGGCGCGAGCCAGAACAAAGAAAGTCTACATCGGATGTTGTCCGTGTTTCTAATGTGTAGTCTAATTTTGTCTGTCACTGGGAGGAATATTTTCAATCTTATCATCACATATTTTGGCCCGACACGGGAAACTTGAAAGACTGATAATGCTATAGGCCTACATGCTGACTGCTTCGATCTAGGAGGAAAAGTTTAAAATAAAACGATGTAAATAATTATTTTAATTTAGCGTAACAATTAGCTACTGTCAGTAAATAATTATTAGAAAAAAGGTTTTTAAGATTATGGCTTGTGGTAGACGACTCGTCTACCACATCTACTTTGGTAGATACGGCTAGTTACAACATAAGCAGTTTTTTGGAAAACCATTATTAATAATAGTTTATAAGTATTAAGTAGTTTTATAAGTGCTCTCAAGTTATGTATTTCCGGTAATTTGACCGACATTGTTGCTAATTAAAGATAATAAATATAAATGTTATAAAATTACATAATGACTATCTGTACTTTTGTTGTTGTAAGGCTGTCCAAAGTGTTCTAAAGTGGACGCCTACTTTAGAACTTATTATAGAGACATTCGGTGAATGCGCAAAGGTGCTGCATTTAAGTTGTGTAAAAATGCTGACGTTTTACAGTATTTGAAAAAGGACCCTTGGAAATTGTAGGTTTCAGTAAGCTTCTATTAATACCCAGGAGTGGCGCCAGGATTTGCTCGACGGGGGGAAGGGGGTCCGAAGTCCCCGACGGGGGAGGGGGCGATGCCCCGACTAAGGGAAAGATTTCCCCGATGAGAGCAAAGTAGGTGTGGTCGAGCGTCGCTTAAAATAATAATAACAATAATAATAATAATAATAATAATAATAATAATAATAATAATAATAATAATAATAATAATAATAATAATAATAATAATAATAATAATAATAGTGTAGTTTTATATAGCGCACATAGCCATCTAATGTAAGATGCTCAGGGCGCTTGATATGTGGACTAGGAACTCGACCAATGACTTTCTTCGCCCCTAAGGGTTCCTTCGTGTCTGTGCTACCCGGTAACCCGGTACCAGTAACTCTCGTCGTCCACCACAGGGGTTGTCTGTTCCGGTACACCGGGGTATCCCCCTTCTCGTCTCGAAGGATGTACTGGGTTCTTTATAGTGCACACGAGCCATTGTATACACTGGGCTTACGGTTTATAGTCCTTATCCGAGAAGACTTGTTCTACCACCAGAACCATGGGCGAGCGTTCCGTTCGAACCAGCGCCGATATCATGACTACAGCTTGCGGCGCCCCTCCTAACCGCTCGGACATTCGACTTTGATGTTTCGACAGTAGTCCATGTGGCGAAGCCCCCAACATTTTGACAATTTAGGGGCATGTACAAAATACATATAATTTTTTTTCTCCTCGAGGAATTGTGTTTTTTTTCTTCCCGACGGGGTGTGTGGAGGGGGGGGGGAAGGCTCTGGCCCCCGGCCCCCACTGGTGCCACCCCTGCTTATGCCTATTCTATTCAATCACAAGATTAAACTTACTAAGCCCCGCCCACAAAACCACGTAAACGGGAATTTGTTATTAAATAGCACGTTCAGATTGGTTAGCTGTTAAGTTTGTTTGACGCTCCGGGAAGACCCATTGAATATATTTTCTCTCCATGATTAGGCAAAAAAAAATGTTTGTTTGCCCTCCTTCACCCGCCCCTAATTCACTGGGAAAATAGGGGCGGAAAAATCCAAAAAAAAAAAACTTAGATGAATTTTTTTTTTAGCTTTTTTCTTTACAAATTAAAAAAAAAACTGTGAGTGAATTTATCTTTATTTCTTGCCAGATTCCCTACAAATTTGTCTAAATTTGTTGTCTGATGTAAGATATTGCCATTCTAGGCCTCTGTAGGTTATTTTTATTCCATCTGAGTACCTTTAAAAAATAAATAAATAAAAAGAAAACTATTTCCACCCGCCCCTTTTCATCATTTTAAAAAAAGAAGGGCAAACAAACAATTTTTTTTTTGGCCTTATGATAATACAGAAACAGTAGAAACAGGCGCAAGGACAATGTCTTATCAACAAGCATCATGCCAGACCCGGGCATGTTTATTTTATTGTTTCAGTACATGGACAGTACGGTACATAAAAGTAGGGCCTATTTAAACCGCTGTTGTCAATGTTACAACAGGGAGAATACACTGTTTCTTGCGTTTTAGCGATTTGACATAATACAACACTGCGAAGTGATTTTGATACAAAAATAATATAAAAAAATAACATCATTTTTTTAAATTTATTTTTTATTATTATTTATTTAGGCACACAATACATGTGCCAAGGATTGCCAATAGCGAATATATCACTGTCCTACTTGTAGGTGACAATCCCTTACACAAGACAATAAATTTAGGGAGTGGAGTTGTTTTAGTCGTGAGAAATATTCCTGCAACACTGATAGGAATTGAACCAAGGACCCTGGGATTGGAAGGCAAGCATCTAAACCACCAAGCCATTCAACTCCACAATAACTCTAAAACATTAATGTTTGTTTAATGAAACAGCCTCACATTGTTAGTCAGCAAACTAGTCTAACAATCAAAACAGGGAGAATACACTGTTTCTTGCGTTTTAGCGATTTGACATAATACAACACTGCGAAGTGATTTTGATACAAAAATAATATAAAAAAATAACATCATTTTTTTAAATTTATTTTTTATTATTATTTATTTAGGCACACAATACATGTGCCAAGGATTGCCAATAGCGAATATATCACTGTCCTACTTGTAGGTGACAATCCCTTACACAAGACAATAAATTTAGGGAGTGGAGTTGTTTTAGTCGTGAGAAATATTCCTGCAACACTGATAGGAATTGAACCAAGGACCCTGGGATTGGAAGGCAAGCATCTAAACCACCAAGCCATTCAACTCCACAATAACTCTAAAACATTAATGTTTGTTTAATGAAACAGCCTCACATTGTTAGTCAATATAGGCCAGTGATAAAAATACATTATTATCAATAAGACGTTATTTCTTTATTTCTTTCTTTATTAGTATTTAACCAGGATGTCCCGCTCAGCATCGCTGATTTTCAGGGGAGTCCTCTTACATAAACCTAAAAATCACAGTAATATAGACATAAAAAAATAAAAATTCTTTCAAAAACACAGAATAAAACAAATATAATCTTTAATTTAAGCGTTTGAAAATAAAAAAGCCATAACATGTTTTTATTTAAATACGCATCAATAAGTTTGGGCTACACGACATGTATAATGTGGATTGGAGCAAATTTGAGTACGGTACCATGGCAAGCGACTAAGTAAGTAAGTAAGTAAGTAACTTTATTGCTTCTCTTTTATAACAAAAGCACAACCGGAAAGATGTGCAACAATAACAAAATCAGTAAAAACTTAATTACTGTGATTAAATATAGTAAGAAAATACTGCAGTAGAACGAAATAAATATAAAATGAGTTTTCAAATCCGTTGCATATTCAAGCGATAAACTATACTGGTATAGCAATATTATGGTCTTGCCGAACGAGCTAAAATGATAACCTCTTGGTGAAATAATTTTAACGAAATAAACACGGGCCTAAGGGGTCATGGGAATACAAACTAAACGATTAAAGTGTCGTTTGTTAGCACTTTATCAAACGCAACTCATGATGATATAGTATTTTTTTAAACACCATGTGAGTGACAGTGAGTTTATTAAGTTTGAAACCACATGGAATTACGTTGATTACGATCGTTTGAATTTGTTTAATATTTATTTAAACAGTGTTTTGTGAGAGCGTTCCCTCCAATCGATAATGCTGAATATATTCAGATCAAAACGAAATTTACAAAAACAATCTATAAAGTAAATTTGATTTAACTATTAAATACATAGATTTAAAAATATTGAGTATATATATACATATATATATATATACATATATATATATATATATAAAATATAGGCCTATATATATATATATATATATATATATATACATATATATATAGGCCAATACAGTACCTACTACCGTACTATACAACAATGTTATAATTATCCCGAAGCCCAGTCTTATCTATAAACATATAGGCCTATGCATATAAGCCTTTTATATAGACGATGTTTGAAGAACTAGTGGTGATACTGATGATAATACAGCGCACCATCCAATTCGAGATCCCTCTAATTCCGAGACCCCCTCTAATTCGAGACCCCTTTTCAAACAACCAAATTAAAATCGTCAATTTTTTTTAACACAAAGCTAACTCTCTGATTACAAACCGAACCTCGAAACCACCCAAATTTTCAGGTCCCAAAGTGATCTCGAATTGATTAAAGGTAATGGGAATGATGACGATGATGATGGTAATAAACAATTATCGTAAATTAAAAAAAAAAAAAGAACTTCACATTCACCTAAAGAAGCGCAGCGTGTGCACGGAAGCTAGTGTATTATCAATAAAACTAGTCTTTAAAAAGTACTACATGTCCAGTGTTTGGTTTACAATATTAAAGTTGTATTATTGGTAACAATCACTTCTGTCGATGTAGGTCTACCGGGCTCATTGGACTTTTTACATGTATTTTTTTTAAACTTTCAATATTAAGATTGATTAAACTTAAACAAACACAATATTAATCAAAAAGATACCACTCGCCCACATCGTGTACTGTTACAAAATCTCCAAAGACTGGGTATCTCATAATGTAGGTCTGTCCCGTTGCTAATCAGTAGAGTCCTCCATTAAGTTCCACTCATTCTTAAAAAAATAATTAAATATAATATACCTGCCATTTAAGGGATGCAACGATGCTTTATAACATACTTCAGGTGTTTTTTTTGGG